GCAGCTGCCTTCAGCTCAGGTCATGATCCCAGGGTGCTGGGGTTGAGCCCCACATCAGGCTCTCTCCTCAGTAGGGAGCCTGCTTCTCCCTCTCTGCCCCTCACTGCCCCCACTTGTGCTCTCTCTCTCTTGCTCTCTCTCTCTCTTTCTCTCAAAATCTTTAGGGAAAAAAAAGTATGGGAAAGAACTCTGCCCCACTTAGTGTCCACTTCCTGCTGAGGTGTCTGGTGACATCAGAAACAGGTTGTCTTTGACCATCATCCCTGATCCCAAATGAGTTCCATTAGTGTTTTTTTTTGGGGGGGGGATGTTTAAGATTTTATTTTATTTTTTTAAGATTTTATTCATGAGAGACAGAGAATGGCAGAGACTTAGGCAGAGGGAGAAGCAGGCTCCCTGTGGGGAGCCCGATGGAGATTCATAATGGAGATCCTGAGTGCCTAGATAACAAAAAAAATCACCCAAAGTGCACTTGAGCATTTGCTCAACACCATCAGGCTGCAGGCTGTTCTCTGAGGATGGCTTTGGGAAACTATTCGGCTACCACAGAATGGAAGCCTTGGCAAAGACCAAGATAATGCACCTCAGGCCAGGGTAGGGGGAGATTGTAAGGGATGTTCCCAACAGGGAAATGTCATGATCAGGGTATTGTCATTAGGATAGGGACAAGTGGGGCAGCCCAGGTGACTCAGAGGTTTAGCGCCGCCTTCAGCCCAGGACATGATCCTGGAGTCCCGAGATTGAGTCCCACGTCGGGCTTCCTGCATGGAACTTGCTGCTCCCTCTGCCTGTGTCTCTCATGAATGAATAAATAAAATCTTAAAAAAAAAAAAAAAAAAGGATAGGGACAAGTGGTCCCCTGTTCTGATGGAGCCAAGTGGTTACCCTGAAGCAGAGCAGGAGATGGGTATAAGGAGGGGAACTACTGTCTTGAAGGAACTCATAGCTTTAAGGGTGCTCAAGAACATATCACCTTATAATAGCCCCAAATGGCCACTTACAAAGGCCAATTGCCTGTGGTGCCACACAGATTATTACAAATCACAGAGTTCATGGCACAGACTAAAGACACGTGGTATGTGGTGGCGGACATGGCTTGCTAATGCCTTTTTTAGCATCCCATTAACCAAAGGATGAAAATCAGCTTGCCTTCATGGGCTTGGCTTACAAGGCATCCTTACAGTGATGCCATGGGACTGCCTGAATTCTCCTGTGATTTGCCACCAGTCCTAACTCCAGTTGGAAGTGCATTATGACAAAAGATTTCATGAAACACATGTCCCTGTTCACAACCCATGGGAAGCATAATGGTTATCTTATATGTCCGCTTGGCTGAGCCATGGTGCCCAGATACATGGTCAAACATTATTCTGGAGGTTTCTGTGAAGGCTTTTTTGGTTGCAACTGCCATTTCAATTGATGGTTTTTGAGCAAAGCAAATTTCCCTCCATAATGTGGATAGACCTAATCCAATCAGCGGAAAGTTTGCAGAGAACAAAAGACTGACCTCCCCCAACCAAAAGGGAATTTTGTAGCAGATGGCCTCTGGACTTGAACTGTAACATTGGTTTTTCTGTGGGTCTCTAGTCTTATAGTCTTCAGACTTAAAGGCTCCTCTCTAGATCTCCAGCCTGCTGGTCTACCTCTAGGTTTTTGACTTACCAGCTTCCATTATTGCATGAGCTTATTCCTTTACACACACACACATACACATCTATACATCCTGTGGTTCTTCTCTGGGGAATCTTGACTAATACAGGCTACCCATGGAAAAGGACACTTTAACCACAAACATCAGTGGAACCAACACACTGGCTGGACCTGTACCACCCAGGTAAGAACTATAGCCACCTGGATCCATTATCACACAGGACATGGTGGCCATCTGTAACCCAAGGCCTGGGTAATATGCCTGGACTACTAGCTACACAGTGGAATGACAGAACTCTGGCACATGTAGCCTGAGGCATTCAACCTGGCTAGTCGTGACGAATAGACTAGATGGGTCTCCTACTTTCTACTCAATGGTATTGCTGGGCAAAGACTGCTCTAGGCAGCTTTTTCTAGGGAGGGCACAACAGTTCCCATCTACATGGTAGATGTGGGCAATTTAAGGACTCCTAAATGGGCAGTGTTGCATATTTGGGTTCTCCAAACACATCCAATCAGACAGTGGCGCTGCCTTTATAGCCAAGAGCATTCAGCAGTGGGTAAACTACCTGCAGCATTCCCTGGACATTTCATGCCCTGCATCATGGACAGGTAGCAGGTGCCAATGGAAGATGGAATATACTTTAAAAAAAAAAAAGATTTTATTTATTCATGAGAAACAGAGAGGAAGGGCAGCCTGGGTGGCTCAGCGGTTTAGCACCGCCTTCATCCCAAGGCCTGATCCTGGAGACCCGGGATCGAGTCCCAAGTCAGGCTTCCTACATGGAGCCTGCTTCTCCCTCTGCCTGTGTCTCTGCCTCTCTCTCGCTCCCTCATGGATAAATAAATAAAATCTTTAAAAAAAGAAACAGGAAGACAGAGGGAGAAGTAGGGAGCCTGATGTGGGACTTGATCCCAGAACCCTGGGATCACGAACTGAGCTGAAGGCATATGCATAACCAACTGAGCTACCCAAGCGCCCTGGAAGGTACTCTTAAAGGAGAAACTAAAAAAGATAAGTAGACAACTGAAAATAGCTCCCAATAGAGCACACCCTTGAGATAAAGCAGTGTGGTTTCTAAATGTGGCAATTCCAGAAAAAGGTGGTTCTCATTCAGAGAGTGTTTATAAGGTTGGGGAGAGGGAGAAAAGAGGCTTCAGCTGGCTGGAGGAGACTCAAACCCTGTATTTAGTCCCCCTTACTCTTCCTTTTCCCATATCACCCCTACCTCCAGGAAACCAGGCTGCTGGAACCTACAGCAGCAAAAACAGCCAGGGCTGGGAGATCCTAACCTGGTGTTTCTCCTGCTGTCCTGGTTATGCCTGAGGACATTAGGCCTATATGTGCCTGCCAAATACAAACCAGTCTAAACTCTGTAGTACAAGTGATGATAGACAATTCTTTTGCTCCAGGCTTTGTGCTGGCCAGTCAAGGCAGCATATTCACGGTTACCACCACCTCTTGCTGCACTCAAATTAATAAGGAAAAGTGAAGTGATCTATCTCTTGACTTGTAAATAGGGTGGGTCTGAGGTCAATTCCCAGTGGTATCTGGGACATAGCAGTTTGGCTCTCCGAGTAGGGAGCCTGACTGTGGTCTGTCCTCCAAGTGGGCCTAATCATCCTACTGGGAGGCACAATTGTGGTCACTCTCATCTGATGTTAAACAGGAAATATTTGGTACAAGCCCCCACCAGTAAGTATATCTAGCTCTCCAATGGAGTGACTATGCTCCTGAAAATAATTCTTAGCTGGATACATGAAAGGCTGGGGTGGCAGGAAGTAGAGTTGTGGGAAGCAGCTACTGCCCAGTATCCTGATAACCTTGCTTAGCTCTTGACAGGCCACAAAGGTGAGGCTTGACCACGGAACCATCCAAGTCTTGACAGAACACATTATGATTCCTTCTGCAAAATGTGGCCTGGGATCCCCACTGGAGCTAGAGGACATAAGCAGCCTGGCAGAGTGGGGACAGCCCCCAGGCCTCCTCTCGTCTCCCTCCTAGCCTTCCATCTGGCCCCTCTCTCCACTTAGAGCTCAGCTTCAGGCCATGAAAGTGTCTGATTGTAGTTGAGTTGGCTGCTTAGCCACAGAGAGTCCCGTGGCCTTGCTGCTCCTCTGGTCCCTCCAGCTCACTCCTGTCTCTGACTCGGGAAAGCTGACACCATGCTTGCCTTGTTTTTGCTGTCTATGTAAGTAGAAAGCTATCTGGATCCAGTGGGACTTGTCATCTCCTTACCAGCTGAGGCTACGGGAATGCGGCAGGCCCACCTGGTAGCTTCAGTGGTGATCTTATGGCCCTATTAGCCACTGTGCTGTGCTTTGAGACTGCTTGACCTCTTGACACAGAAGAACATTTTGGGGGTTATGGGAATGTTCTGTTTCGATCTGAGTGGTAATTATACTTGTCTATTCATTTATCAAAACTAACAAGGGACTCCTGGGTGGCTCAGTGTTTGAGTATCTGCCTTTGGCTCAGGTCATGATACCAGGGTCTGGAATCGAGTCTCATATCAGGCTCCCCACAGGGAGGCTGCATCTCCCTCTGCCTATGTCTCTGCCTCTCTCTGTGTGTCTTTTTAAAAGAATAAATAAATTCTGTTTTAAAAAACTAAGCTGCACACATAAGACTTGTACCATAAACTGTAAATTATACCTCAATTTTTAAAAATCACCCCCCCCCCCCTTGGGAATGCCTGGGTGGCTCAGCCGTTGAGCATCTGCCTTCGGCCCAGGGTGTGATCCTAGAGTCCGGGGATAGAGTCCCACATCGGGCTCCCTGCATGGAGCCTGCTTCTCCCTCTGCCTGTGTCTCTGCCTGTCTCTCTATCTCTCATGAATAAATAAATAATCTTTAAAAATAAAAAATAAAAAAATCACCCTCCCCCAAAATCATCAGGGAACAAACAAGAGCTCTTGAAAATTATGATTGCCAAAATGAAAAAGTCAATTGGAAAATAAATTTCCCAGAACACAGAGCAAAACAGAAAGACATACGGGACCGTGAACCTAGCCTAGGTCTAACACCCTAGTACCAGGCCTTTCAGTTTGTAAATAAACCAAGAAGAGTGTTTGCGGGAATGAAAGAGATGGGAGTTAGAACAGAGAGATGACAATATAAATCTCGTTAATCAAACAACCCGTGTAAGCAATACTCAGCCGTTCGTTAGTAACCGATAGCACAATCCTTTGGAGGAGCAATAGGATGGCAAGTACTTTCAGTTATGTGGGTCTTTATCCTTACAGCCCAGGTCATCTCCTTACCAGCTGAGGCTACAGGAATGTGGCAGGCCCACCCGGCAGCTTCAGTGGTGATCTTACGGCCCTATTAGCCACTGTGCTGCGCCAGGTAACTTCACTACTGCGAATTCGTCCTAAGGTAATACTATAAAAGGAAAACAAATGTGGAATGCATGGAGATGTTCACTGCGGTATGGTTTATGATGCTGCAAAATTGTGAACCACCCAGGTGCCCAGCGAAAGGAGAACCACCACGACAATAATCTCTTATTGACTGTGTAGCGGGCGCGGAAAGGGATCTGGATCAAGGCCCGGCACCCACGGGGGGCAGTACCCCTCGGCCGGAGAGGCGTCAACTGCATCAAGTTACGGCGACCTGGGGCGACACAGAGCGGACCCGGAAAATGGGCTTCCCCGTTAAGCGGCTGAAATGGAGGCGACAGCTTTCTACCACTGCTCGGCAATGCGCTGACGCTGGTAAGATCCAGCAAAATAAAGTTGCGCGCCCCTCGCGGAGGCTCCGCAGCGCGCAGAGGCCGGGCCCAGGCTGCGGCTGCGCACTGCGGCCCCGCTGCCGGCGCCCCGGGACGGCGGCGGGGAGCGCGCGGGGGGCGCCGGGCCGGCGGGCGAGGGCGGGGCCGGCGCGGAGGGGGCGGGGCGGGGCGGGGCGGGGCCGGCGCGGAGGGGGCGGGGCGGGGCCGGCGCGGAGGGGGCGCGGCGCAGCTGTCCCCGCCCCTCGCGCTGGTCGGCCGGGCGGCCGCTGGAGGGGGACGGGGCCGGCGCGGGGCGGGCGCAGCGGAGCGCGAGGGCGGCCCTGGCCCCGCGGGAGCGCGGCTGCGGCGCGCGGAGCCGGCGGCGACGGCTGGGCGGGCGCCCGCCTTCGCCTGCATCGCTGCCTCTGCGCGGGCCGCCGTCCCCGGGGATGTGAGGGGCGCAGCTCGGCCGGCGGGGCCCGGAGCGGCGCGGAGGCCGGCCGCGGACGGTAACGCGTCGGGCGGACCCGGGGGAGGGCGCCGGCTGCCCACCGCCTCCCCCCTCCGGGCCGCGGCCGGGTTGGGGGGCAGGAGCGCAAGCGGTGCCTCGGGTCGGAGGCTGCCCGCGCTCCCGTCCCCGGCCGTTGTCGTTGCGGTCCCCGGGGCCGGGAGGGGCGGCGAGGGCCGCGGCCGGGCGGAGGGCCGGGAGGGGGCTGGGCCGGCCGGCCGGCGGGCCACCGAAGACCGGTGGCAGGTGCCTGCCTCCCCACCCTGTGACCCGACTCTCTCCCCGCAGCTCCACCCACTTTGGCCTAGACCCAACCTCCAAGGGCTAAAAATATTGCCCGGAGGCTTCTGAGAGGAATCAGATCGCTCTAAGTAGGGCACGACGCGCGGAGGCGACAGAGCTCCTCGGGCCCAGGGCGGGAGCCAGTCTCCGGAGCGGCGGTTCCGCCCACGCGCGGCCCCGCACCTAGTGGCCTCCCGCCCCCGAGCAGGCAAGTGGGGGCCCGCGGGCGGTGACAGCGGCACTGGCCCGCCCTCTGGAGTCGCCCCACTGCGGAGCCACTGTGCCCAGCCTCTCCCTGGCCAGGGGACCTTGGGCACCAGTCGCTGCCGGGTTCTCAGGGGGTCTCCCCAAGCGCTCTAGAAGCAAAGGCTGAAAGTTAGCCACTGCAGGAGTCAGAGCTAGCCGGGAATAGACGCAGGGCCCTGCTTTATGTTAGAAACCTAAGCTGCCCTTGCTGCTTTTTACACTCATTCTGTTTTTTCTTATGAGAAAAAGAGCGACGCTGTGCCAGGGCTCTTTCTGCAAGCAACATTCTGCTCCAAGAGGGCAGAGAGAAAGGCTTTCCTGTCCATTTCTTTAAATCAGACTAAATACCACTTTTATTCACTAGAAGCACGTGGCCAAAGAGGCTGGACACCCACCTCTGACTGGCTGTGTCAGTCTTGTAGGCAAGCTCTGTGGGAGACTATTTAGAATCAGGAGGTCATGTGGAGAACTCTGGAGTCAGAGCTGGGAAGTTTGTTAGCCGGGCGTGTTTTTTATGGCATTACCCTGGGAAGGAGCATCCTCTGCATCCTCAGGGCAGAGCTGTCCTCAGAACCAGACAGGACCAGCTCCACATGTGCTTCTGGTGCTTTCTGTGTCTCAGCCAAGAGAGGAGGATCCACAGCCAGTGTTGGGATTTGATGCTTAGAGATGTGTTTTCCTTTGGAGTCAGGCAAATAAGCATGCCTTGAGAGTAGCACTCAGGAACTCCTGGGGCGCATTTGGTGGAAAGACTGAACAGAGGGATTTTGCCTGCTGGAGCCCTTTATGGTGTCCCTCCCACCAGGTGCATGTGGGGGCCAGTATGAAGCTGAAAAAGCAGGTGACAGTGTGTGGGGCTGCTATCTTCTGTGTGGCCGTCTTCTCACTCTACCTCATGCTGGACCGAGTGCAGCATGATCCCACCCGTCACCAGAATGGTGGGAACTTCCCCCGGGTGAGTCATGCCTGCTTGCTGGTCTCTTCACATACAAGTCATCTGAGCTTGGGTTGAGACTCAGTGTCAGCCCAGGAGAGGAGCATTTCTTCCCAATTGGCAGGTTTTCTAGAAGCCCAAAGATAAACATAATGACAGCAAAAAGAAAGAAGGAAGGAGAAATATGTACTGCCACTCCGTCCTCCTGAATTCTTGGCAGACAGTGCTAACGGATTGCAGCATTCTTTCCCACTAAGCCCGGATGCAGTCCTAGTCAGCGCAGTGCTCCAGATAGGCCACACCAGTTGTTGAGAATAGGCATGCGAGTACTCCCCACCCAAGTGGATTGCAGTCCTCTGTAGTGATTTGGAGATCTTCTCTTATCTGACCAGAGCCTGTCCAGCCCTATAGGCTCATGGTTCTGCCTGCATAGGAGGAAGGAAGGATCACAGTCAGGCTTCGGGTGGTGGGCCCCATGCAGAGAGCCTCCCCGTGGCACAAGGAGCTGTGGGTGATTGCTTTCTGGTCTTTTTGCAGAGCCAAATTTCTGTGCTACAGAACCGCATTGAGCAGCTGGAGCAGCTGTTGGAGGAGAACCATGAAATCATTAGCCACATCAAGGACTCTGTGCTGGAGCTGACAGCCAACGCAGAGGGCCCGCCTGCCCTGCTGCCCTACTACATGGCCAATGGCTCCTGGGTGGTGCCGCCAGAGCCCCGGCCCAGCTTCTTCTCCATCTCCCCTCAAGATTGCCAGTTTGCTTTGGGGGGCCGAGGCCAGAAGCCAGAGCTGCAGGTAGGGGCCAGTGCTGGCAGGGAGGTCTGGTGGCTGTGGATGGGTCCTGAGCTGCTCTCTGGCTTGGCAGATGCTGACTATATCAGAGGAGCTGCCATTTGACAATGTGGATGGCGGTGTATGGAAGCAAGGCTTCGACATCTCCTACAGCCCTCATGACTGGGATGCTGAAGACCTGCAGGTGTTCGTGGTACCACACTCCCACAATGATCCAGGTGAGGACCCAGCAGAGCTCCGGGAGCTGGGCTGTGCAGGGGGCTTTCTGATGGCAAAGGTAAGTGAGGGGCAGACGTGGATGCTGGCATCCTTAGGGAACCCTGTGTTGGCTCCCCAGGCTGGATCAAGACCTTTGACAAGTACTACACAGAGCAGACCCAGCACATCCTCAACAGCATGGTGTCCAAACTGCAGGAGGACCCCCGGCGGCGCTTCCTCTGGGCAGAAGTCTCCTTCTTTGCCAAGTGGTGGGAAAACATCAATGCCCAAAAGAAAGCAGCCGTCCGAAGGCCAGTGCCTGCTGGGGAAGATCGGGAGAGCTATTGCCTGGGTCCTGGGATGAGTGCCAGAGCAGCTGGATGCCAAGCATTGGGTGCCCAGGTGGCAAGGAGACACAGGGGGAAGTGGGGCAGGGAGGAGTGACAGTAGAGAGGGTGAGAGTGAGAAGGCAGGAACTGGTTTGACGGTCACTGGTGTCAGGAGAAATCAGTCAAGTGAAGGTGTCTGCACAAATGAAGAAGGAGCATGAGGCCTGGCCCTCGGAAGTGCAGATGGAGGTCCAGTGAGAGGTAGGCTGGGCCAGCATGGAGGTTGTAGGGAAGGAGAAGCAGTTGCACATTTGTTCAGTTCGTCTTGGGTTTGGGTGAGCAGACTTAGTGAGGCTGGTGCACACTGGTCCTGGCATCTCCTGGTTGACAGGACTGGGCAGAGATTCCCTGCTGCATGCTGAGTGAGTCCTTCACTCTAGGCTGGTGGGAAATGGGCAGCTGGAGATTGTGACAGGAGGCTGGGTGATGCCAGATGAGGCCAATTCCCATTACTTTGCACTGATTGACCAGCTCATCGAGGGACACCAGTGGCTGGAGAAAAACCTTGGTGAGTCTGGGCTCAGGAATGGGGGTCTGCCCTCACAGCTGGGCCCAGGGGACAGCAGGGTCCTGTAAGGCACAGGAATTGGCACTGGGTGGTTTCTTTCTGGACTGGTTCCACTAGCATGGGCTTGGCATAATGGTAAGAAGGGAGCTGGGTTCCCAGGCCCAGAAGGCCAGGTCCTGAGGTGATCAGGACCTCTGGTTCCTGTGTCCTCCCAGGTGCAACCCCACGCTCTGGCTGGGCTGTGGACCCCTTCGGTTACAGCCCCACCATCCCTTACCTGCTGCGCCGTGCCAACCTGACCAGCATGCTGATTCAGAGGGTGCATTATGCCATCAAGAAGCACTTTGCTTCCACCCACAGTCTGGAGTTCATGTGGAGGCAGACCTGGGGTAAGACCAGGTAGGGTGGAGGGGTCACAGGAGTAGTTCTCACTGGGGAAGGGCAGGGGTATGAGAAATAAGACCCAGTGTCTTAGAGCGGACCAGCAAGCACTGGTGCAGACTGCCAGAAGTGCTCCTCTCCTTCAGGTTAGGTTGGGGATTACACTGACCTCTGGCCTCTACAGGGCCTGCTTTCTATACTGAGGGTCTGAGCACAGCACGTGCTGGAGGACCTGTGGGCTCCAGAGCTGCTCTGTGTCCTCACCCCTCACCTCACATCTTCTGCAGCCTTAGGTCTGGTTCAGGCCTCATCTTCTGTCAGAGCTTCCTGTAGCTGGGGCAGATCCTCACCCTGCCGCCATCCCCATGCCCAGCTCCCTGGCTGCCTGCTGGTGGCTGACTGCCTGGTGTGTCTTCTACAGACTCAGACTCTAGCACAGACATCTTCTGCCACATGATGCCCTTCTACAGCTATGATGTGCCCCATACCTGTGGCCCAGACCCCAAGATCTGCTGCCAGTTTGATTTCAAACGCTTGCCTGGTGGACGCATCAACTGCCCCTGGAAGGTGCCACCTCGGGCGATCACAGAGGCAAACGTGGCCGAGAGGTATTTGTCCCCGGCCTGGGCTGGGCCATTTTTACCACATAGAGGACCCAGGAGACCTGGCCCTGGTCAGGACTCTACTGCACGGAGGCACTTCAGGTTGTACCTCTGTGAAATGGGGGGTGGGCTCAGTGGTTGAGTTCAGATCTGCAGCCACTAGGGTGGCAGCTCCTTTATAGAGCCTCCTAGAAAACTAGAATGGCCCTTAGGAACCACCTTTTCCAGAATGGTTTTATTTTCCCAAATGAGTATGTTTCCCAGCCAGAGCCAGTTGGCTGACTCAGCAGTGAATAATTCTCAAAAGAGATAAAGTTCCATGCACTTTACCTAATATGCCTTCTTTTAGTGCAGACATCCTGCCTTCGCTAGAGATTGACCAGGACCCCCAGTGCTCATGGACCCAGCACCCCATTCAGATGCACATTCGTCCTACTCAAGAGCCCCCAGCCTCAGAGAAGGCACACTGTCCCTTGAGGGTCGTTAGGGACCCCCAAAGATATCTTTGTTGCTGAAGTCCATGCCCCTGGGAGAGGGCAGACTGAGAGTGTTCTAGAACAGAGGGTTAGCCAGAACCAACTGGCCTTGAGAATATAACAAGTTGAACTGGTTTTCGTGTTGCAGTGCTCTGATTTCCATGATGTCCAGGCAGTGAAACATGTGACCAAAGGGGAAAGAAAGTGGTCTTTTGTTTCTGAAACCCAGAAATCTCAATAGTGATTCTAAGCAAGAATCTAGAGCTGTTAGGGCAGGGTTTTTCTTAAAGCAGCAGCTGTGGACTTCAGATGCCAGCTCAGGTTTGCAGAGAGCAAGTCATGAGAGTAACTTTGTTTTCTCCTTTGAAGGGTTCCCTAGGCTGATAAATTAGGGAAGAATGGTATTGGAGGAATCTTCTCTTGAGAACAGAGTAAAGAAGTATCAGCTGGATCAGCATAGTTAAGTAGATTAGTGACTGGTTGAACTATGGTATCAGTAATATGCCAATTACTAGGTTCGTCTAAAAAGAGAAAGAGGCTTTAATGAAAGGCTGCAAGGCTCTGTTTTTCTATTGATTTTACTAGTAACATGGCTAAAAAAGAAAATGACAAATGTGTATTTATAGTTTTTGCTATGTGCCAAGGATTGTTCTGAGTGTTTAATATATATTAGTTCATTTAGTTCATTTTAATTCTCATAACATCATGGTGGTAGGTATAAACGTTCTTCTCATTTTATAAAAACTGAGGCCCAGAGAGGTTAAGTAACTTGGCCAGGGTCACTCAGCCTAATACATGTGAAGTTGGCATAGTCTGGCTCTGATTCTGGGCTCTTCGGTGCTATGAGGCTAACCAGGTGGGCAAAGTGAAGCTGGAGTGTCAGAATCAGGATCCCAAAGGATGTCAACAGCTGGTGTGTGATGTGGGTCGAATCTGACCAGATGTGATTTATTCAACGTCAATGTAAGGTCCTACCCTTAGCCTCAGAAAAGAGCATAGAAAAGTTTAGAAGAAAGAACTTGCCGAACTTCATGAACCGAGTGCATGGGAACATGCATGGTGGCTGATGTTAGCTCCAGGGATGACCGTGGGGCTCTCAGAGGCACCCCCACTGATGCACCCACACCCCAAGCCAGCCAAAGGGTGGGGTCTGGCCATCCACCCTGGCCTCTCACATCCAGGGCTGGGCCCTGCATTCTGAGGGCCATAGGCCCAGGGGCTGCTGGACAACCGCTGGGTAATGGAGGGGCTGGGCTTGCAGAGCCAGGAGGGAAGGCACAGAGGAGTGTGGCACGGCTTGGATCTGAAGGAGAACCGTGGGGGGAGAGGGGTATGGGGTCCTGCGGGTCTGAAGGCAGCTCTGGGAGGGAGCCAAACCCAGAAACAGCAGCTAGCGTACAAAGACAGCCCCCTGCTGTCAGGAGCATCCAGAGAATTCTGGGCTCCCGGGGACAGGTTCCCCCTCCAGGAGGTGTGCACACCACAGATGCAGGGACCCCTTGGTGGGTGTGCTCAGGGGGTCTCTGGGGCTGGCTCTGCCCCCACCCCCCCCGCCACTGAGACCCCTCGTTGGGCCGGGGCCTCTTTCCCCACAGGGCTGCACTGCTCCTGGACCAGTATCGCAAGAAGTCCCGGCTCTTCCGAAGTAACGTCCTCCTGGTGCCTCTGGGGGACGACTTCCGATATGACAAGCCCCAGGAGTGGGATGCCCAGTTCTTTAACTACCAGCGGCTCTTTGACTTCCTCAACAGCAAGCCTGACCTCCATGTGCAGGTGGGAGGGGGCGCTGAGCTTGGTGGAGAGGGTTCCCTCTACAGTGCTGCAGCTTGGCCTGAGAGGCTCGCTGCTCCCATTACCAGCCCCAGGGCAGGGGTCTGTGCCTGACTCTTGGGTAGGGTCTCCCTTTTATGTCAGAATTCCTTCTCAGGCTCCCCAGCTTCTGTGAGGGGTCCAGCGGGGTAGGACGTGGGGTGACTGCCTGTGTGGAGCAGAATCCCTGCACCTAGTGCCCAGCCACAGCCCTGGGGGTCCACAACTCCTAGAAACTCTGGAACTGATGGGAGTGGGTTTTTGGGGTCTCCACAGGCCCAGTTTGGTACCCTCTCTGACTATTTCGACGCCCTGTACAAGAAGACAGGGGTAGAGCCAGGGGCCCGGCCTCCAGGGTTCCCTGTGCTAAGTGGGGACTTCTTCTCCTATGCGGACCGGGAGGACCATTACTGGACAGGCTACTACACTTCGCGGCCCTTTTACAAGAGCTTGGATCGGGTCCTGGAAGCCCACCTGCGGTGAGACTCACTCCCCACCCCTATAGGCTAGAGAGGGTAGAATAGCCTCTGGGAGGAGCTAGATTGGCTCAGAATGTACTAGAAGGGCTTGGAGACCAAGGCCGGCAGAGACATGGTAGAAAGAAGATGGCGAGTTTAGCAAGGTGGGCCTGGGAGTTGTATGGGCAGAGACTGACCTCTCTCTCTGGGCAGGGGGGCAGAGATTCTGTACAGCCTGGCTGTAGCTCACGCCCGCCGCTCTGGACTGGCTAGCCAGTACCCACTCTCTAACTTCGCCCTTCTGACGGAAGCTCGGCGCACCCTGGGCCTCTTCCAGCACCACGATGCCATCACCGGCACCGCTAAAGAGGCAGTTGTGGCCGACTATGGCGTCAGGTGGGAGCCCTCTCCTCCCGGTCGGATCCTGTCCTAAAGGCCATGCTGGGCAGTCAGTGGGCAGACCTGCCGAGGGTTCTTCCTCCTAGAGAGATGGATGGTCTGTGGCCACCTTTCCATGGTCCTGCTTCTGCCCACTCCCCCAGGCTTCTGCGCTCCCTTGTCAACCTGAAGCAAGTAATCATCAATGCTGCTCACTATCTGGTGTTGGGGGACAAGGAGACCTACCACTTCGACCCTGAGGCACCCTTCCTCCAAATGGTGAGCCCCACTTCTCAATCCGCTTGGGGCGTTCTCTGGCGCGTGCAGTCCCATCCAAGAACTATGGTCTGAGGTTGTTGCTCTTCTTCCCTTCCTGTCCTAGTGGGAAAGATCTGTGCCTAGTGCAGCTGGTGGTCCACATCCAGGACAGTCAGGGGTGGGGGAGGTCAGCAAGGGTTTGGCTGAGCCAGGCCAAACCCTGTGATGATTGTTCCCTCCCCACCCATTTAATCCTAGGATGAAACCCGCTTAAATCACGACACACTGCCGGAGCGCACAGTGATCCAGCTAGATTCCTCACCCAGGTAAGCCAGACCAGGCCAGGTGCAGAGGTGAAGCCGCTCTGGCTCCCCACACCATCTCACCCCCACATCTGTCCAAGCGCCGCAGGACTCTTGGCCTGGCTGCTGTTCTGTTTCCACTGCCCAGGAACAGTGGCCTCCTAGGTGAGCCCGCCTCTGCCCGCAGGTATGTGGTACTCTTCAACCCGCTGGAACAGGAGCGGCTGAGCGTGGTGTCTCTGTTGGTCAGCTCGCCCCGAGTGCGGGTCCTTTCAGAGGAGGGCCAGCCCCTGGCTGTGCAGATCAGTGCACACTGGAGCTCTGCCACCGACATGGTCTCTGACGTCTGCCAGGTGAGGTGGGGCCCTGGAGCTGGGCCCCAACCCTCAGTGCTGACCTGTGGCCTCTCCCCAGGGCCTCACTCTGCCTGTGACACCAGCTCCCCATCCTCTTGCTTATTACCCAGGTTGGGGAGGGGGTTCTTAGGGAGAGGGCTGCCCAGAGAACAGTCACTCTTGGGACTTGAGTCCATCCCTGAAAGGAAGGTGAAGTTGGGTGTAGTAAGGGAATAGTAAAAGTGGGGGCTGGATTGCCCTTCCATTCCTTCCTTCAGCAAGTAGTTATTTTTTAAAAAAAAATTTTTTTTAATTTTTATTTATTTATGATAGTCACAGAGAGAGAGAGAGAGAGGTGCAGAGACATAGGCAGAGGGAGAAGCAGGCTCCATGCACTGGGAGCCTGATGTGGGATTCGATCCCGGGTCTCCAGGATTGCGCCCTGGGCCAAAGGCAGGCGCCAAACCGCTGCGCCACCCAGGGATCCCTCAGCAAGTAGTTATTGAAGGCTTAATGCGTGCTTCCCGTTCCGTAGTTTTTCAGATATCATATGAGACTCCTAAAGTCTGACCAGAGGCAAGTGAGGTCACCTCCACTTTCGGGGGTGGGGGACAGAGGCCCCAGTAGGTATAGGGATTCGATCAGACCTTCTCAGTGAGTGAGTGGCGCAGGCCTGGGATTCCAGTCTGGAGTGCCCAGAACGAATGCCCATGCCGTGGGCCATGCCTCCTCACCCCGTCTGTGCCAGCAGGTATCTATGCCCATCCGCCTGCCGGCCCTGGGCCTCAGCGTGCTGCAGCTGCAGCTGGGCCTCGATGGGCACCGCACCCTGCCCTCCTCTGTGCGTGTCTACCTGCATGGCCGTCAACTGGCCGTCAGCAGGCAGGACGCTTTCCCACTGCGCGTCATTGACTCTGGCACCAGTGACTTCGCCCTCAGCAACCGCTACATGCAGGTCTGGTTCTCAGGCCTTACCGGGCTCCTCAAGGTAAAGGGCCCGGGGCAGGGGCTGAGGAGGGTATGCCCTGTGGGGGGGCAGTGCTGAGCCACCCCCTCGCTGGCGGCAGGCCTCAGACTGGACCGTCTTGGCTCCGGGTGACAGCACAGGGAAGTGGGGCTGGCTCCTTGGGAAAGTTTGTGCCCTCCCAGGAGGCAGGCCTGACATGCTGGTGTGGGGCCAGGGGTCAGGGCTGTGTTTTTTGGCAGAGCATCCGAAGGGTGGACGAGGAGCAGGAACGGCGGGTGGACATGGAGTTCCTCATCTATGGCACCCGCGCGTCCAAAGACAAGAGTGGAGCCTACCTCTTCCTGCCTGATGGGGAGGCCCAGGTACCCTAAAGACTCCAGAAACCTGGCAGGCCCTGGGAAGCCCTCTAACAGAGGGTCCAAGAAACCACAGGAACTGAGGCAGTGAAGAGGGTCACCTCTGCCTGCCAGGGGCCTTGCCCAGGCTGCCTCTTGGAGGTGGGGTGGGCTGAGGAATGTCACCTGGGGCCTTGGGCCAGCTCAGCCAGGGGTGTCAGGCCAGATCCTGCTGGAAACAAGTACTTTTACCAGTGCTGGGCTGGTACCTCCCCGCTTTGTGTTCTGTGCTGTGGCTTTAGCTGTCGCCTGCTCTTTCCCCAGCCCTATATCCCCAAGGACCCCCCCGTGCTGCGTGTCACTGAAGGCCCTTTCTTCTCGGAGGTGGTGGCATACTACGAGCATATTCGCCAGGTGGTCCGGATATATAATCTGCCAGGTAAGCCCTGAAGATGAGGACAGTCAGAACAGAGGTCAGGGCTGCACAGGCTATGCCACGCTCGTCCTTCTGCTGGTCTCTGCTTGTGCGTCTGTTCCCAACAAATGGATCATTTGAGACAGGGATGGCATTAATTCTCTTGGAGTGAAGGTCCTACAGAAATGCTGGGGGCTGCCAGAGGGTTGGGTGCAGCCTCTCCTGGCCCCATCCCTTAGGCCTCTTTATGCTCTGTCTGTTCTTATGCCCAGGGGTGGAGGGGCTGTCTCTGGACATGTCGTCCTTGGTGGACATCCGGGATTACATCAACAAGGAGCTGGCCCTGCGCATCCACACAGACATTGACAGCCAGGGTGCCTTCTTCACGGACCTCAATGGCTTTCAGGTGATTCCTGGGGCCCTGGGCCCACACACCACATGCACTGGGCATGGAGGAAGAGGAATCAGAGGCGAGGATGATGAGGGACTCCTTCAGACCCGGGACCCCTTGGGCCTGAGTGGTGCCTGGATGCCCTTGATCCACTGGTCTCCCCCTTCCAGGTGCAGCCCCGGCGCTATCTGAAGAAGCTGCCTCTGCAGGCCAATTTCTACCCCATGCCAGTCATGGCCTACATCCAGGATGCGCAGAACCGCCTCACACTGCACACTGCCCAGGCCCTCGGTGTCTCCAGTCTGCACGATGGTGAGTGGGGAGCAGGGCTCTGAGAAGTTTAGAGGATGAAGTAGAGCCCACTTCTGCCCCAAGGCCTCTCTTCTCAGGGAGCCCCATCCCTCCCCAGTCCACAATCACCTCCATACTTGGAGAACATTAACAACTTCTGCCAGTCACACACGGGCATGGCAGGAAGGCAGACATGTGCTGTCACATGCAGAGGGGCCGGGGCAGGGGGTCCTGTTGGGTCTCTTTAAGAAGCACCAGGGTATTGAATGGTGATTTGCAACTGAGGTGTTCAGCCTCCTTCTCCTGGCCAGGGATGGAAGCAGGACTGTTGGAAAAGTGCATTTGATGTTTATAATGAAATATTTAGCAGGGGTGCCTGGGTGGCTCAGTCAGCTAAGTGATTCTTAATTTCGGCTCACGTCATGATCTTGGGGTTGTGAGACTGAGCCCCACATTGGGCTCCACAGTGGGCATGGAGCTTGCTTGAGGTTCTCTCTCTCTTCCTTTCTCTTATTTCTTGCTTTCTTGCTTTAAAGAAAAATTTTAAAAATAAAATTTTAAAAAATTTAGCAGTGGAGAAAGATAGATACTGTTTCTACTAAAGATCGTTAAAAAAGAGAATGGTGTTCTTAAGAATTAAAACAAGGCCATGAAGAGTACTGGCCTGGAGCTGGGCATTGTTGGCAAGCTGAGGCAGTTCCCCTGTTCTCAGGGTCAAGTGAACAGTCCTTGGTGGCCTCTGAGGCCTTCAGATCTGCCATGTTTGGGATGGAGCATTTGTATATGGGGCTGAGCCGAGAGCCTGGTCCAGGCTGTATGGGGGTGCTGTGGCTAGGGCAGTGGAAGCCTGACTCCCTGCTGAAGGAGTGTCCCTCCACCCAGGATCATCCCACTGTCAGACTGCCTGGCTCTGTCTGTGCCATCGATTGCCAGCTGAGCCCAGTGTCCCCACTTGATTCTCTCTGCCCTCTGGGAAATAGTGTGCTCAGAGATTATTGTTTCATATGCAGGGGTCCATTTTAGGACTTTGGTATATTTTCCCCCAAAAAGTTTCTCTAGGTAAAAAGGCTTAGGAACAACAGGAGTCACAGTTGGGCTGGGGAGATGGATAGGGCTACCTGAGTGGACTCCCTCTAGATTCTTAAAAAAACAGGTTCTGGGGAAAATCCTCACCTCAACATATGTCAGCTTTGCAGTGAGCCCCTTCCCCAAGTCTGTTTTACAAAGAAGGCCTAGGCGGTCACCTGCCATGTCTTTTCCCCAGGACAGCGCTCAGTGATGCCTAATTTGAGCTTCTGACTGATTTGCCATCTGCCTGTCGTCCGCGCTTTCCTGGTGACAGATGAGGCGGCAGCGCTGGAGTCTGTCCTGGAGTAGAACAGGGGCGGGGGGATGGGGCTTGTGTTCTACTCACAATGAAGTCTGCCCATGCTGCTAGCTTGGGGCCCCTGCAGCCGGCGCCATGGGCCATCCAGGGCAGTGTTGTGTTGGCTTGTTTGCTGTGTTTAGGTAGGCAGTCCAGATAGGGCTCCTGGCCTGAACTCCTGGGCCTGCCCTCGGTCCTGAGGCACAGAGCCTGGGGGTGGGAGACTGCCAGTGCCCGCTTGTGTTCTCTGGACCTCGTTTCCTCTTCTGTGTTGCTGACCCTTCCCTCAACCCCCAGCCCCAGGTCCCGTAACTCTTCCTCTCCTGAGCAGCTCCACTTCCGGTTAGCTCACCAGGCTGTTCCCTTGGGGCCTGTGGTTGGGCTGCTTCTTCCAGAGCCCACTGTCTGCTTGGGGGTGGGGGTCGCAGGCCGGGGGCTCACAGTTGACTTCCCTAGGCCAGCTGGAGGTGATCCTGGACCGACGGCTCATGCAAGATGACAACCGGGGTCTGGGCCAAGGGCTCAAGGACAATAAAAGAACCTGCAACCATTTCCGCCTCCTGTTGGAACGGCGAACCCTGGGCAGTGAGGTAAACTCTGGGCCTCCCTGACTGGGAACCAGGTCAGGCTGGTCCCTTGGGCAGCAGAGCTAGAGGTGGGCAGGGGTAGTGAGAGTAGGGCTTTCCTGGGGCGTGGGGGGTGTATCTGACACTCCGCACCCTGGCACCTCTGTCTGCCACAGCCTCCTGTCACCTGTGCTCCCACCCACCCCCGTGTCCTCTGACCCCATCTGCTCCAGGCCCATTCATCTCATGGCTTTCTTTGCCCCCACCAGCCTGGCTTTTTCTCCAAACTGGCAGCCATGTTTAGGGACTTGATCTTTCACAGCAGCAGGACCAATAACCTTGAGGTAAGGGCCAGCAATGGGGTGTCGGACTAGCGTTAGCAAGGTGTAACTGGAGTTGGAGCCTGCGGACGACAGAGCCTGCCCTTGGGCTCCCGTGTCCAGGGCTCAGTCCCACTTGCTCAGGAGATAGTGAGCACTTGCTGTGCTTTAAGGCCTGAGAGGGACATAAACACCTGCGTTATTGGCCCTACTCTCTAGGACTTTGCTCGGGCGGAGGGGTGGGGGATATGCTGTGTGTGTAAGACTAGGAATGTGCTCTCTGGTACTGAGAAGGGAGAGAATGGTGTGAGCCACGGGATGGAGGACAGCTTCCGGGGGACGTGTCAGCCAGACACTGCCGTGTGATGAATGCAGGTCTGATCTAATCACATGGAGCAAGGTACAGGGCAAGGTAGGAGACACCAGGGAATAGCACTGAGTTCACTCAGCCAGACTAGAGTGGCTTATCCATGCCATAGCTTCTAGCCACATGTGGTTATTTGAAATAATTAAAACTACATACAATAACAGATTCAGGTCTTCATTCATACCAGCCACATTTCAGGTGTCTAGTGGCCATAGGTGGCTAGCAGCTACTCTATACTCAGTGCTGGTTTAGTGTATTTCCATCTCTGCAGAAAGTTCTAGTGGCCACTGCTAGGTTGGCATGAGGTCAGAGGTCGTTTGCCTGGAACAGCTGGTAGGAGAGTCTGGACTCTATTGGAGGCCAGTGAGGGACCCCGACAGTGGCCCTGCCCTAAGCTTGTCGCTCTGGCAGCAAGAGTGGGTGCATCCTCAGGGAGACTGGAGGTGGAGGATGGTCTACAGGCCACTCAAGCGAGAAATGTTGGTGGCTTGAACTGAGCCACAGTAGGGAGAGGGTGGGGTAGGGGTGAGGATACTGCTGAGTGGGGGACAGAGGTCAGGGAAGGTGTAAGTGAGAGATTCTGGGTGATTGGAAGGAGAGTGGCATGAGGGACAAGTCCGGAATATGGACAAGAGGCCGCCTTAGAGAAAGTCCAGGTTGGCCACCGAAGCGGCAGTCCTTGGGGACACAACTGTGGGGACCCCTGGGCCGAAGACCAGGCCCAGTGCTTTGGACACAGGGCCGTGCTCAGAACTGCGGGATTACTCAGGGTACTCTGTCCATCATCTGTGTGAGGCACATGTCTGTCTGTTTCCCATCCTCCACTCTGAGAATCTGTGATGGGAGACGGTGCTCAGGGTAGTGTCACATCAGCAAAAACCTCCAAAGGCCAAGGAGATGTGGCCTAGTAAATAGTCCTCTCTAAGTTGTGTGAGATGGAAAGTGGCTGTGCAGGGCCCTGGAGCCTTCTAGACATACTGGGGAAGCTTGCTCCACCTGGGTGTGCTCCCGCCCCCCACCTCACCCACACCTCCGGCCAAACTTGCAGGTCCAGGATGGCCACACCAGCAGCTACCCGTCCCTCCTCAGCCACCTGACCTCCATGTACCTGAATATCCCAGTGTTTGCCCTGCCTGTGGCCAAGAGGCAGCTCCCTGGCCCTGGTCTGCGCTCCTTTCATCCCCTGGCCTCCTCTCTGCCCTGTGACTTCCACCTGCTCAACCTGCGCACCCTGCAGGCCGAGGTGAGTATCCGCGCAGCCTCCGCCTCCAGGAATAGATTTGGGCCTCTCTGCCCAGCGCCTCCGGTCCCAGTACTGCCCTCTGGGGATGGCCCTCTGCTTCTCTGGGAGCCCCAAGCAGCGCCAGCACCACCCTACCCCCCACCCCTTGTGTGTCTGTCACCAGGATGATGCCTTGCCCTCGGCAGAGACCGCACTCATCTTACACCGCAAGGGTTTTGACTGTGGCCTTGAGGCCAAGAACTTGGGCTTCAACTGCAGCACAAGCCAAGGCAAGGTGAGCAAGGCTGGGAGAGGGGGGCCTGGGGGAGGGACATCCATGGGGAATGGGGAGGGGACGGGGGGGGGGGCAGTCCGGGGGAGTGGGGCCTGGAGAGGGGAGTGGGGTCATGGGGAGCAGGGCCAGGGGGAGGTGGGCCCGGGTGATGGGGGTGGGGCCCAGGTGTGGGCAGGGAAACAGGGCACCAGGCTGGGTAGGCTAGGGAGCTTGAGGAGACTGCAGTAGGGTGGAAAATGAGGGCGAGGCTGAGGGTGGGGGGCCCTCCAGGACCTTTTTGGGAGAGAAAAGGGGAAGCTGTCGATGAGTATTTTGTTTGTTTGTTTTAAAGATTTTATTTATTTGTTCATGAAAGACACAGAGAGAGGGGATCCCTGGGTGGCTCAGCAGTTCAGCCCTGCCTCTGGCCTGGGGTGTGATCCTGGAGTCCGGGGATTGAGTCCCAAGTTAGGCTCCCAGCATGGAGCCTGCTTCTCTCTCTGCCTGTGTCTCTGCCTCTCTCCCTCTCCCTCTCTTTCTCTCTGTCTATCATAAATAAATAAAATCTTTTAAAATCTACATTTAAGGAAGACAGAGAGAGAGAAAGGCAGAGATGGAGGCAGAGGGAAAAGCAGGTTCCAGGCAAGGAGCCTGATGTGGGACTCTATCCTGAGACTGCAGGATCACACCCTGAGCCAGGGGCAGGTCCTCAACCACTGAGCCACCCAGGCATCCCACCGATGAGTGTTTTTAAAGCAAGCGAGGCCTGGGGGGGGGGCGAGTTCCTGGCGAGGCCCAACAGCTGGAGAACTTGTGCCCTGATAGCAGGGGCAGCTGTCAGACAAGGTAGAAAACACCAGAAATAAAACCCCAGAAGCCTGGTGCTGCTAGTCCTTAAGCTCTTTTCATGGTATAAGCTAGTCTGGTACATGCTCCCCAGCCACGGCCTGTGCTGGGCACCTGGAGGCCAGAGTGGACCCAGACGCAGTCGCTGTGCACAGGGAGCTCCTGCTCAGTCCAGTGCCTCCTCCTCTGCCCTCCGTGGGCTGGCTGCAAAGTTGAGCAGACCTCAGTGAGCCCCTGAGGTCAAACACAGACTCACAAGTGCAGGTAGGCACCATGCTGCCCACAGGGGCCAGAGCCTCCACAAGGTTTTTTGAAAGGTAATGAGACATGCAGAGGAAGAGCCACATCGTGCAGCACGTGGGCACCCAGCCCAGCCCTGTACCATGTTCCTCTCCACAGGCAGCCCTGGGGAGCCTCTTCCATGGCCTGGATGTAGGTTTCCTGCAGCCGACCTCCCTGACATTACTGTACCCACTGGCCGCACCCTCCAACAGCACTGATGTCTACCTGGAGCCCATGGAGATTGCCACCTTTCGCCTCCGCTTGGGCTAGGGCTTCCTGTGGCCTGAAAAGAAAGTTCATCCACAGAGACTGCCTCTTACAGAAGGTCGGGTTGGACAAACCAGATGGGTATCCTGTCCCGATCTACCTCTCAGAACTGTGACACACTGGGCTCTGCCCTCATTTTCTTTTATCCTTGCTTCTGTGTTCAGTGGCAGCCCCAAACCCAGTGTCGGGTAGATAGGGCAGACGCTAGTGAGAAGGTGACAAGAGGGCCCTTGGCCAGAGTGGGGGGTGCCAGCATCTGCTTTGACTTTTGAGTAGCACCCAGTTGGGCACAGGCTCGAACATCCACCCTTCTCCCCAAATGGGATGGAGGGGAATCAGAATCAAAACAGGTAGGGGAGGCTGAGTGGGTAGCAGCCCAGCACCACAGTAACTGTAGGCAAGAGCTGGCTCTGGGGGGGGGGGGGCCCTCTGGTTACGTAGGGACTGCTTGTCCTGATGTGACCAGCAGGAGCTGAGTGACGGCTGGGAGGTGGGGGATGGGGACCCAGGCTTAGCAGTGGGGTGGAAGAGGAATCCCTACTTCCTGTGATGACTCCACCACAAGTGCTCCCTGGCCTGCACGCCCTGCTAGGGACTGTGGTGTGGCAGGAAGGGACTTAGTAGAGATCATCTCATGGCCAGAGGTCATAGAATACTTCAGATACCAAAACCCCCATCTCATCATGGGCAGTCGGTCTGTGTGTTGATGTGTGGGATGGTGGCAGGGACGTGGGGGCTCTTCCATCCTATCTGACCCCTCTTCACTTCCTGTGCTCTGCACACCACTGTCCCTTGGGAGTTCCTTCCCATCCTGGGGGGCATTTGGTCTGGCATACTTCCTTTCCCTGGAAAGGAACTGAGGCGCCCATGAGTGTGAGCAATTTGAGAAGGCTTTCAGCCCCATCCCTATAGTCAGGATATGAAGCTTCACTTTTGATACCTTCTTCTACAGAAGTGTTTGAATCCTGGCACAGAGACTAGAGACATGTAGCATAAATTAGGAGGCAGTATGACTACTCATCAGCCTTCATTTCAGCTTCAATTAATAGAGAAAAGTTTTTGATAGTCTCTATAGATGCTGAAACAATATTTGGTAAAGTTTAAGATCTATCCCTCATTAAAAATCTTAGTAAGTTAAGATTATAAAGGAACATCCTAATCTAGATAAACTTCTATCATAAACCAGCAGTTACTGACATTCTAGAGTCAGACACCCCAGGCATCCCATTACAAGTTGGAAGCTAGCCAAGGACGTACTACCTTTTAGCAGTGCCCTGGTACTGTTGCCCTTGCAGGAGAGCAGGCAGGCAAAGGAGAAGGAAGTTACAACTGTCATCATTTGCAGACAATAGAACATCTTAGATACAAAATCTAAGAGAGTCAGTTCTGTAAGTGGACACACACGATAGACATGCTTCTGTAGAGACTTCGGTTCTCAGAATCAGCCCATAAATTCAATGTATTCCAATGCAGTTGGATACTTTGGGGATTTGATGAGTTCTAAAGTTCATTTGGAAGAGTAAAATATGTGAGAATATTAACACATTCTGAATGATGGTGAGTCGGGGGTAGGGAGCGCTGCGGGGGTCGAAGGCACGTGGCCTGCCCCAAGAACTTGCAAGTGCCGGGAGTGGTCCCTCTGACCTGGAGTGGGGTTGGGCAGGCAGATGTAACAAAAGGCAGAGTCCAGCAGACCCCCAGGCAGATGAGAATTTGGCAGGATGAAAGCAGTATTTAAAGTGGGGAAAAGATGGATTGCTTAATAAATAGTACTTTAAGACAACCGGCCCTCAAAGTAAGAGTTAGATCTGTAGCTCACGGTTTCCACCAAAATTAGTTCCAGAGGGAAGAAACCAAAAAAGTTAAGCTACAAAATTCATTGAAGAAAATACAGGGTATTATTAGACCTCTGGTGTGGGAAGCTCTGTTTTAAACAAAACACAAAACCTAAAAGATACAATACGGGAAGTGATGTTTTACCACCAAAAATTATTGAAAGTTTATGTATGATGGAAAACATCACAGTACAACACAAATGACAGATTGGGAGAAAATATTTGCAGCACTTCCAATATTGATGAGTTAATTACTTCAGGAGCAAAGCTTGCTTTGGGGTCCCCAGGGCCTGCTCCACAGCTGCCGGAAGATCAAGAGTTTTTCCAGGTCATCCAGAGCTCCTGTCACCAGCATCAAGCCAGGGCATGTGGAATCCTGTTTGTATCGTAGTAGAAGAAATAAGATACATAGAAAAGTTCAATAAACAGGAACTGTAATCTTATTAGTAAAGGACGCTGAGCAGTTATATTATAGCAGGTGTTATTTGCTGGTATCATATGACTTGTAATCAAATGATAAGGGAGACTCTGTGAACCCCACTCCCACCCCAGGAAATTAGCAGAATAAAGGTTATTATCTTTGGAGGTCTTAGATGTATCATGAAATTGTTCATCTGCCAGAAACGATCTTTAATCCTCCACACTGACTGGCCTTTGAAAAGTATTTCAGGCAGTGTTTGTTATTCAAGGTGTGGTCCAGAATCACTAGAAGTATTTGTTTCAGGTCCAGCTTGTTGGCCTGTCTTGGCAAGGGCCACCCCTTGCGCCTGGATGCTGGGATGAGGGCCCATGGAGCAGAGACCAAGGCTCGTTGAGACTGCCCTGTAACAAGAACCAGAAAGAAACTTTCCTGTGGTGCGTAGGAGGGAAAGCCAATTCCTGGGCCCAACCCACTGAACCAACTTCTTGGAGTAGCAGTCAGAGAAGCAGCATTTTTAACAAGCTTCCAAGCAATTCTTTTGCACACATTCATTTGGAAATGGGCCTATGATTTTAAGGGAAGCAGCAGCCCTTTACCATGGAGCTCTGACACTGAAGCCTCAGTTCTGAGGGTTATAATCATAATTAGAACCAGGACAGGAGTTCTCGCTTTGGCAGCATGTATACTAAAATTGGAACGATTAGCATGGCCCCTGCACAAGGATGACCTACAAATTCATGAAGCATTCCATATTTTTATGAACACTGGGTATTATATGTTGACAAATTAAATTTAAATATTTTTTAAAATAATAAAAATCCAAATTGAAAAAAAAAAAAAAACCAGGACAGGACACAGAAGCAACTTCAACCCCTGGAAGTAGAATTCTCTTCCTTCCTGCACCCCTCCATCCACTTTGAACTATCCCCTTCCCATGAAGAAAAGGAACCATAGACAAGTGGGCAGGAACCGGGTTCTCCTGTGCAGGTTGAGCCAGGCACTGACTCAGCTCCCCAGGGTGTGGGCATAGAGCAAGGCCTGTAGAAAGAACAGCATCTCCAGGCTGAAGCTCACCCATCCACCCCACCATCACAGTGGTCTGCTAACTGCACTCAGGACCTACAGAGGAGGAACATCACAGTCTGGGTAGTAGGAATGGGGCTCTCCAACCAAAATAGAGCTCTCTGAAACATATCATTGCTTCTCACTAACAAAAATGTGTACAACACTTTAAGGGCAGTTCTCATGCAAGAACAGGTGATAGAGGAGGAGGCCAGATCCTTCGCAACAAATCTCAGTTTTACTTAGGGTCTGTGGGAAATCAGTTCAGGACTTCTTAAGAGTTGTTACCCAATGGATCTGCAAAGAGTCTCTGTCCATTCTGGGTTCTGACTTTGGATCTCCCTACCTGAGAAGAAGCCTGACCTGATCATGAATTCTGTGGGCACAAGAAACCCGAGCAGCTGGACATGAGGACTTGCCAGCACTTGAAATGTGATGGGGTTGAAGATTTAAGACAAAGCTTTGAGTGTGGAAGCCTGCTCTTGCAGTGGAGGGGGAAAGGTGGCAGGTCTCCCTGTCGGCATGCCTAGGGACCTGCACTAGGACCAGAGCAATGAGCACCCCTGTACCACTACCTCCTCAACTCCTGATGTCTTGGAATGGTAAGTGAAATATTAACAATGGCAAGAGCGTAGCCCTGTGGTCCTATGACCCAGAGTGGAGAGAACAGACAGCCCTGAGCAGATGGGAAGCTGCACAGCTCAAGCGAATGAGCTGGGAAGGAGAGCAGTGCAGGGTCGTCAGAGTCCATGTGGGACACATAGGTGACTGGGAGTAACTGAGGAATGCCAAGAGGGCAGAGCCAGGTCGAGCAGGGAGCATAGGACAAGGAAGCAAAGAAGCTGCAAGCCAAAACATGACAATGTAAGCAGCCCCAAACAATACTTCATTGAAGTATAGTCTACGTGTGGGAGAAACTCTGGATTTGGTGCAGACGATACAGACACTTGTAGATTTGGAAAACAGAGCTGAGGAATCGCTTGAACACATCACAGAGCTAAAAGAAAACTATAAAGGAGAGGTTAAGAAATATGGCAGATAGGGGCACCTGGATGGCTCAGTTGATTGAGCATCCAGCTCTTGGTTTCAGCTCAGGTTGTGATCTCAGGGTCCTGGGATCAAGCTCCATGTTGGGCTCTGTGCTCAGTGAGGAGCCTGCTTAAGATTCTCCCTCTCTCCCTCTGCCCCTCTCACTACTTGTGTGTGCTCTCTCTCTCTCAAATAAGTAAAATCTTAAAAAAGAAAAAGAAATATGGCAGATAGGCTTGGAAGCATGGACAGAATGTTTAGTAGTGTGTTTAGGAGAGACCAGTGAGTAAGGAAGAGGAAACCATCAAAAGGAAAGTGGGTGCATTCTTCAGAAATGAAGATAGAGGGATCCCTGGGTGGCGCAGCGGTTTGGCACCTGCCTTTGGCCCAGGGCGCGATCCTGGACACCCGGGATCGAATCCCACGTCGGGCTCCCGGTGCATGGAGCCTGCTTCTCCCTCTGCCTATGTCTCTGCCTCTCTCTCTCTCTCTCTCTGTGACTATCATAAAAAAAAAAAGAAAGAAATGAAGATAGATATATAGGAGTCCTCGGAAGGAAAAGTGCTTGTCAAGTTTCAAGAAAGGGACATTTCAAAAAAAAAAAAAATCCTCACCGACATATATTTGCAAATAAAACCCTAAAAATCAACCACAAAGAAATTCCAAAAGACCACCAAAATGACAGCAGACATCTAGTTAGCATCAATAGATACCTGGAGTCCATGAAATAGTACATTCAGACTGCAAGAACATAACTGCCAACTCCATCTGGTATTAGCTGCACTGCTATTCAGAGTGGGAGAAATGGCATTCCAAACATGGGAAGGCTAAGAATTTGCAGTGCACAAAACTTCAGTGGAAGAAAAAAGGTGTTTTTCTGAAAGAAAAAAAATCCAGGGTGTATAAACCCTAATAAGTATTGACTGTAAACTATAATTCAAAAAGCATGAATGAAAATTCTAGATCACAATAATTTTAGATATTATTCCAGGGGTGCTTGTTCAGAAGAAATAAAAGCACATCTCATGATTCATATGCACAAAGAAATGGATGAGGATGAGGATGTTCACTGGAGCATTATGTGGTGTGGTAAAAAGCTGGAAACAAAACCTATGAAAAAGCGGAATGCATAGGGGTGCCTGGCTGGTTCAGTTGGTAGAGCATAGGACTCTTGATCTTGGGGTTGTGAGTTCCAACCCTACAACGGGTGCAGAGCTTACCTAAATATTTTTTTTAAAGGGAATGCATAAAGAAAATACTGCCCATTCAAATAATGAAATACTATGACATAGTTTAAAGGAATGAACTAAACATCTATGTGCATTGACATGGATAAATCTCAAAAGCATTGCTAAAGAAAAAGTTACAGGGGTGCCTGGCTGGCTGTCAGTAAACCATGCAACTCGATCTTAGGGTTGCAAGTTCAAGGCCCATGTTAGGTGTAGAAATGACTTAAAATTTTTAAAAAAAGAGAGTGATACATACTTATGACAAAATACTCCAAAATAGGTACTATAAGGACAGTCTTTTCAATAAATGGTGTGGGGAAAATTGGATATCCACATATAAAAGAGTGAAGTTGGAAGCTTATCTTATACCATATACAAAAATTAAAATGGATCAAAGACCCAAATGTAACAGCTAAAGCTATAAAACTCTTAGAAGAAAACAGGAGGAAATCTCCATGATACTATGGCAATGATTCTATAGCTACAACACCAAAAGCAAAGGCAATAATTCTAGAAAGGATTCACCATTCAAGATGCCATTAAGAATATTCATGGCTCACGGTAAGAAATAAAAATAACATTAACAGGATTTCAATTTGGAAAAGTTGATTCTTAACCTCATGGATGACTTTGAGGGGCTCAAGACTTCCATGGAGGAAGTCACTGCAGATGTGGTGGAAAACAGCAAGAGAATTAGGATTCGAAGTGGAACCTGAAGATGAGACTGAAGTGCTAAAATCTCATGATCAAACTTGAATGGATGAGGAGCTGCTTCTTGTGGATGAGCAAAGTGGTTTCTTGAGATGGGATCTACTGGTGAAGATATTACGAAGATTGTCGAAATGACAGCAAAGGATTCACAATATTACATAAACTTGGATTGACTCTCATTTTAAAAAGTTCTACTGAGCCTGGGTGGCTCAACTGGTAGAACATGTGACTTTTGATCTTAGGGTTGTAAACTTGAGCCCCATATGGAGTATAGAGATTATTTAAAAGAAGTTCTAGGGGCACCTGGGTGGCTCAGTTGTCCAACTCTTGATCTCAGCCTAGGTCTTGATCTCAGGGTTGTGAATTTAAGCCCTGCAATGGCATTGGGCTCCATGCTGGGCATGGAACCTACTTAAAAAATTTTAAGAAGTTCTACTATGGGTAAAATGCTATCAAACAGCATTGTCCACTATAGAGAAATCATTAGTGAAAAGAGTCAATTGATGTGGCAAACTTATTCTAAGAAACTGCCACAGCTATCCCACCTTCAGCAACCACCACCCTGATCAGTCAACAATCATCAATAAGGTAAAGTCCTCCACCAGCAAAAGGGATTACAGCTCACTGAAGGCTCAGATGATGATTAGTGGGGTTTTTTGGCAACGAAGTATTTTTTAAATTAAGGTACACAGTTTTTTTTAAAGACCTAATGCTATTGCACACTTAATACACTACAGTATAAACATAACTTTTATATACACTGGGAAACTAGAACTTTCATTTGATGTGCTTTATTGTGATATTGCTTTTATTGTCATGGTCTGAAACTGAACCTGCAATATCTTGGAGGTATGCCTGTAATCTCAAATGGCTCAGGGGAAAAAAGTTACTTATTCTGTACTTCCCACATTTAAGTTTCTGATTTTTAAAAAATATATATTGAATTAAGGGCGCCTGGGTTGCTCAGTCAGTTAAGTGTCTGACTCAATGTTAGCTCAGGTCATTATCTCATGCATGGATTGTGAGACTGAGCCCTAAGTCAGGCTCTGTCTCACTGGAGAGTCTGTTTAAATATTCTCTCCTTCTGCCCCCCTCCCCTCATTCTCTCTCTCTCAAATAAAAAAATCTTTAAAAAATATTGAATTATAAAAAAACCAAGTATTTACTACATTGGCTCAAATCAAACAGGTTATGTAGAGAGGCCTCAGACTCATAATCCTGCTCCACTAGTCACTTCAGTCTTGATCTTTACCATGACTCGTGGTTGGAGCTGACCTGTTATGATCACTTTTGTCTGGTTTAAAAGCCAGTAGGGAATGCCAGGCTGGCTCAGTGGGTGGAGCCAGTGACTCTTGATCTGGGGGTGAGTTTGAGCCCCACGTTAGGTGTCAGGATTACTTAAAAATAAGTAGGGCCTAGGGCCTACGTGGTGCAGTTGGTTAAGCAGCTGACTCTTGGTTTTGACTCAGGTCATGATCTCAGGGTTGTGAGAGTGAGCCCTGCATCTGGCTGTGTGCTCAGCAAGGAGTCTGCTTGGGATTTTCTCTCCCTCTCTGCCTACTGCTTGTTCTCTCTCTCCTTCTCTCTCAAAATAAGTGAATCATAAAAAAAAAAAAAAGTAGGGACATCTGGGTGGCTGAGTGGGTCAAGTGTCTGCCTTCAGCTCAGTTCATGATCCTGGGATCCTGGGATGGAGCCCCGCATCCTGTGCCCTGCTCAACAGGAAGTCAGCTTCTCCCTCTGTCCCCTCTCCCACTTGTGCTATCTCGAATAAATATATAAAATCTTAACCCCAAAAAAAGGAAATAAAAAAAACTTTAAGGTTCAATAGTGTGAAAAAAGAGAGGGGAACTGTGGTCCTCATTCCATCACTCCTCCATCTGTTTGACCATTAACAAGTCTTCTCATCTCCCTGAGCTTCACATTTCATGTCTATAAAATGAGAACAATATCCCTGCCCTGCACTACCTTGTCTGGTTATCATATAGAACAGATGAAGTAACACCCGTGAGGTTTTTTTGTAAAACATCAAGTACCTGGGTTCCCTGGGTGGCTCAGCAGTTTGGCACCTGTCTTTGGCCCAGGACGCGGTCCTGGGATCTAGGGATCAAGTCCCAAGTTGGGCTCCCTTCGTGGAGCCTGCATCTCCCTCAGCCTGTATCTCTGCCTCTCTCTCTCTATGTCTATCATGTTTTAAATAAAAACAAAATCTTAAAAAAAAATCAAGCACCCTGTAACAAGATTTTTTTTTTAAGATTTATTTATTTAATCATGATAGACACAGAGAGAGAGAGAGAGAGAGAGAGAGAGAGAGAGGCAGAGACACAGGCAGAAGGAGAAACAGGCTCCATGCCTGGAGCCCGACGTGGGATTAGATCCTGGGACTCCAGGATCACGCCCTGGGCCAAAGGCAGGCGCCAAACTGCTGAGCCACCCAAGGATCCCTGTAACAAGATTTTTATTAAATGTCCTGAAACCTCAATTTTAGGCCACTTACAAGTTGCAGATGTATTATAGGTTTTGTTAGGTAATTAAATACTACATAAATATATATAAAAAACTGCAGGCATATTATATACATATTAATAGTATATTAGCAAATATACTATATTAAAATGTAAGGTATATTTGCTAATATACTATTAAATGTATTAATATTTATTATGTAAATATATATAAGTGTAAGGAATAAAGTTTTTTAAAACCCTGTAATCCTATCACCTCCCAATTTATTAAAAAAACTAAAATCAAAATTCTCCAAAACATAGCCCATCCTGGCCTACCTTAAGAGGATTACACTGAACTTTGAACTTCACTGATCCGTGTACCTGGCCCCATTCTGAAACTCATTTCCTTCTTGGAAGGCCACCTTCTGGTGGCCCCTGACCATTTTTCCCTGCAGAAACTGCACTGGGGCCTTTGGGTAGAGAACACGTAATCTAGCACGAGATGGCCTGTGACCAAACAACTGGCTCATTCCCAGGTGCGCCTATTCCAAGGGGCTAATAAGCCTCAGGTGCTCCGGTCGCTGCACCCGGACACCACCTAGCGGCTAGTTGCGTCTTCCCGAACCCGCCCCCCATAGGGCTCCGAAGGCGGGGCCGCTCCGGAGCCACTTTCGGAGGCGCCCAGAAGTTCGTGTCACTTAGCAACCGAAGGAACCGCGGAGTGATCGGGCTGAGATGTGGGCTGGGCTGCGAACCGCGGCGAGCTTCCCGAGCGGTCTGGGGTGTGAAGAACTCGCAGTACCCTCTCCACCCACACCGGCCCTGGTTTCTTGCTGCTGGTAAGCAGGTGGCATTCCTCTCCAAAACGTGTCATCCCGCCCAACTTTCTAATGGAGGAAGACTACTACCATTTCTTGAGCACCCATGTGCGGGCTCCCTCTGGGACGTCGCAGAGTCTAACCCTAGTAATTACATAGCCTATCTGACTGATAAGGAAACCAGGCTCAGTGGGGGGGGGGGGGCGGGGGGATCCGAGGCCCTCAAGCCGAGGGACCTGTCACTGGGGGCACGCCATCAGAGGGGCTAGGTATCTCGCCTACCAGTCCCCCACACACACACCCTCGGCAGGCTGGGAAAGGAGCAGCAAGAACTTAAGAGCTTCACCCAAAACACTTTATTTTCCATAATGACTTATGAGCTAGTGTTTCCAGAAGCCCAAGTCCCTGAGGGGCCGGAGTTGGCCGGTGCAGAAGAGCAAACAGACCAGAGGTCTGGAGAAAGGGCAGTCGGTGCATGAGGAATGGACGGGCTGCATCTGATTTCCACAATCCAGGGCTCAGCTTAGTAGGCAGAACACATTCAGAGTGAGAAGAGACAGGTGTCCTTTGGCCTCTGAAACCTGGGCTGGAACCAATCAGGGAGGGAGATGGAGAGACCCCGAAAGGCCAGAATAGGAATCCTTTCTGGCCGGGCCAAGGTTGGGGTCCCGGCCCCCGATGGCTCCCAGCCCTGCTCAGAGTGTCAGTCCCCGCTCCTTAAACAGCTGCTTTAGAGCCTCCTCCAGCGGCCGGTTTGTTCCCTGGAGCCCCTTCACCACGTGTGCTGCCCACTCGAAGTACTCCTGGACCCGATGTTCAGACCATCCTGCAGGAGAATGGACATAACACTGCTCATATGGCACCCAAGATAACACCAGATTGTACCCACTTCCTGGAGGGCTTGGTGCAGGGCCACCAGAGGAGCTCCTGATGGGATCTGTCCTGAAAACTTCCCCCTTGGCCCCGTTATTGCACTTCTATGGTGTGAAAGAACAGAGTGATCTAGTAGGATTAGTTTGGGGAGTCAACAAGAATGCCCGGGCTCTTTCCCCGCCCCCCACAGGAACTAACCAACCTGTGCCTCCAGAAGGTGGACATCCCTCCCTTTTCCCTCAGAGCAGGGGCGGTGTGTGTGTGTGTGGGCGGCGTACCCTCTGGGGTGCAGCGATTCAGATCTCTCAGATTGTACAGCTTGTCTGCCAGCTTCACCAGTTTAGCCGCGGGACTGCTATGGGGTGCCTGCTCCACCTGCAGCCGCTTTCTCTCCAACTTGGGCAGAGTCTTGTCATCCGTTACTTCCTCTACCAAACGTCGCACTTGTGTCCCAAAGTGCAGCTCCACCTCATCCAAGGTGGTGTCTGTGTCCTCCACTGTGTCGTGGAGCAGGGCTGCCTGGGGCACAGGCTTCCACTCAGCCCTGTGGGCCAGCCAAGGAGTGCCCGGGGCTGAGTGGGGCCCCTTGACGCCCACCCTAACCGTCCGAGTAGAGAACGAGGGGAGTTACCTGTAACACCACAATGTCAGTGATGCCCGCCTCATGGGTCAGGATCCGAGCCACACCTGACGGGGCAAAGCAGGAAGTCAGACCTCAGGGAGTTCCCGGGCTGCGCGTTGTGGATTTTGCAGAGCCAGACGTGACCTCTCACTAGCCAGATGACCTTTACTCTCTGTGGGTGTCAGCGGTGCAGAGGAACAATCATGCCTGCCGCCCCGGGTTGTTGTGAGGCTTAAACACAACAAGCGCCCGGCACAAAGCCTGGGACAGAGCTGGTGCTCAATGAGACTGAGGCCCTGCGCGTTCCCTTCCTGGTCCCCACCCCCTATACGCCGCTGCGGCTGCTCCAGGGGCGGTGCGCCCACCGATAGGGTGGTTGATGTAGGGGGTCCCTTCGGGGTCCTTCCGCCGCTGCAGTCGGTGCTTGCGAGCCGCGAAGTCCGCAGCCTCCACCAACTGCGCGGCCTCGGAGCCCATCGCGCAGGTGGGGCGGGCGGCCGACGTCCCGGAAGCCCAGGCGGAGCGTCCACAGCGCCCCCTTGCGCGCGGAGGCCGGAGTGACCGTGGAGCCTGACATTTCTCTGGAGCGGATATCCCGGCGGAGAGAGCAACCGGTGTGGGGAGCTGCCTCAGCATCGCAGCCCCTGGAAGGAGGAAGGAGGAAGGAGGAAGGAGGAGGAAGACACACAAGCAATAAGACAGTGTTCTCCCAGTGTGCTGGATCCAGGGCTGGAAGACACAGGGGACTATGGTATCCTGGAGGAAGGGCAGTTCACCTAGCCTCCCGGGGTCAAAGACCACCTCTCCCAGGAGGATCCTCTAGTCCCGTAAAAAGACAATCTTCAATGTCAGTCCTCTGAAAATTCTCAAAGTGTTCTAAAAATGTTTTTCCCTGCATGGATGGGACTGGTTGGTATTGGCATGGGAGCCTCACCTTTGGGCCCAGAAGATCCTTGGGTCTGACCTTCTAGAAATTGAAGCCTACACTAGAAGCCTGCCTGATTGCTTCAGGTTTAGACTCTCAGGCAGCAGTGATGTTTCTGCAAGGACTGTCTTCTGTGTTCTCAGGTGCGGTGTGTTTTTCTTGTGCCGTAAGTGTGCCTGCTTCAGTCCCTAGGCACCTGCTGTGGGACCCCTCAGATGATAACTGTTGTCATGCTGTCCTGGGAGGATGAGATTGTCAGATCTCGATGGACTCTAGGATAACACTGAACACTCCTGGCTGGGGGCCTTGGGTCTTCTAGAGAAATTCCTTGTCTCAGCAGATGGCATCTATGAGGCTTAAGGGGCAAGAGAGACCTGGAGACCCCGGAAGAACTTTTCCTGTGAATCGGTTTGCGAAGTATAGTGCTCCCATCAGATTGGTAGCTTTTATGTAGCTGAGGCAGACAAGGGCTCAAGGGGAAAGTCAATGGAAGGACTTGCCCTTGTTTTTCAGCGAGTCTTTGTGGTTGTCATGATGCAGAAGTTAGGGAGGGAAGCTCCAAACGCTGTAACTGAGCTCCCTGGGGCCTGAAATGTAATGACTAGAATTCCCAGGGCTTCCAAAGCAGCCTGGAAATTGAGAGTGGGGAGAGAGAAACATCTCTGGTTCTACATGCTTGTCTCTTCTCCAGGCTAATGGCTCAACTTCTCTAGTCTTCTGAACCTTTTCCTGTTCAGCTCAGAAAACCTCAGGCAGCTGGGAGACCCAGTCCCCACATTTTCCAACAGAAGACAAAAACTCAGTCACTTTTATCTCTCTCTAGAGGTCTGTGACAGAAGCTTTGGGTTTGTGTTAATGGCACCCAGGAGGCTTGTGGTTTTGATTTTTATTTCCTTACTGTCTGCAGCCATGGATTAGAGAGATGTTGGGGTTCCTGAGACCAGGGCTGAGGTGGAGATGACCTCTCATGGCCTTTCAGAGGAGGCTGGGCCTGTTGCTGACTGGCCTGACAGGAGGGCTGCTGCTCCTCCAGAACTGGGTGACACCTGCTCTGCCGACCTCTCTCTCAGGTATAGTAGTCCCCTCTGCCGGCACCCCTCTTCAGGTCCCTTCCTGGGGAGCTGGGAGGGAGTTTGCCCTTTTGATGATGGCTGACCCTTTTCACTCTCTAGAAGGGTTGGAGTTGGGTGTGGGTAGACCATTCTTGCCTGTCTCCCTCCAGCATTGGCCCACCACCCCCACTTGTGCCAGACCACCTGGGATGCTGATGGCCGCCACTACCCCGGTTTCTTCTGTCCTCGGCTCTCTGACACCCCGGAGGAAGCCTACTGCTGCCACCTGCAGGCTGCAGGGGGCTACTGCTGCACCCGGGCTGAATTTGAGGCCTTGTACCAGGTCAACCAGTCCGCCGTTCCGTCCCCACCCATTCTCAGGTGAGAACTCGAAGCCCCAGAGCCCCTGGGACACTGACAGGTGTTCCAGCATCTGGAACTCTGTTTTTTAAATTCTGAGGCGGGAAGCATGTAGCGTACAGACTGGTGGAGGGGCCGGCCTCAAATAGAAAGTCGCGTGAATACATAATTACAAACAGTTGCGTGAAGGGAAAGGGGGCTGTGTTGGCAGGTAACAGGGAGCCACAGCATGCACTGTGGGGATGGGGTGGGGTGGGACAGATGACAAACTGCGAGGATCTTGTAGTCCATGGATTACACCCATCATGATCGGGGTTTTCAAAACTGAATCTGTGTATGGATGGCTCCACGGCACCTGTGAGCCTCCTGAATTTCTATTTGCTAACCCTATATTTATCCGGGGAGAGGGGTGTCCCGAGGTTCTTCCGGACTCTCAGAGGCTCTGTAACCAACAGCCGCAGCAGCGAGCATGCGGCTGGGACCAGCACCCTGAGACTGTCCCCTCTCCTACAGGGGCAGGGGCCCGCTCCTCGCCCTGAGCCTCTATACCGTGCTGCTCGTGGCCCTGATGACCGCCGACCTCGCGCACTTCTGCTGCGGTCGGGGCGCGGGCCGGCCGCCCTCGGCGTCCTCCGCCGCGCGCCCCCTGCAGGTCCCTGTGGGAACGGACTAGGCGCGCCCACTGCAGGTCTGTGCCGCCAGCCGGAGCTCCGCCCATCGGAGCTCCGCCCACCGGCGCCTCTCGCCTTTGCCCCGCCCCTTCTTTGCCTCCGCCTCTGACGCGGGCCGGGGCGGGGCAGCCGACGCCGGATTCCTGAGCTTCGTCCCACTCCGCCCCAGAGACTGCGCCTGCGCGCGCCGTGGACTCCCGCCCCGCAATGACTGTGAGTGGTCCAGGCGCCCCCGTGCCCCGGCCGGCCGCCCCCGGGGTGCGTACCCATCCTCCCGTCCCATCTCCGCTTCCCGCCTGCTCTGACCATTCCCCGGCTCCATGGGACTTGCCCCTGACCCCCGGCTCCTCTCCCCCAGCTCCCCGGCCCTGGCCTGAGCCCACCCCGACATTTCCACCCGTTCCCTCCACAGGCCAGTGCGGTGGAGCAGTTGCGCAAGGAGGGCAACGAGCTGTTCAAATGCGGAGACTACGAGGGCGCCCTGACGGTCTACACTCAGGCCCTGGGTCTGGGCGCGACGCCCCAGGACCAGGCCATTCTGCACCGAAACCGGGCCGCCTGCCACCTCAAGCTGGTGAGGGAGCCGGCTGCTCTGCCTGTCCCCTGCCCGGGCCCGGTTTGCCCGTCTGGCTGCTGCTTGGGCCCCGGCTGGGCCATTCACCTTCCCAGGCCACCGACACTTTTCTGATGTCTTGTGGACCTCGCGGTGGTGGGAAAAAGAGTGGCTTCTGAGAGCAGCCCTGCTGCCCAGCTAATGCCCTGAAAAGGAAAGGACCAGCCTCTCAAGCTCCTTTTTTCCTTTTCTTACAGGAAGATTACGACAAAGCAGAAACCGAGGCATCCAAAGGTAGGGGACTGTGGTGGACCGGGAGGCATGGGGCTTCTAGTGGTGGTGGGTGAGGACTGCGGGACCTCTGCACCTTCACATTCTCCTTTCCCTGTGGCCCTTAAAACACCTCTGCCTGCTTTCTTTCCCACTTCTTGGGCCTTTCCTTCTCTGCAGCTACCCTCACCTTTTCTGAGGCTGGAATACTGAGCCCCACATCTGTCCCCCCTCCTTCCTTGGGCCCTCGAGACCTTTCCCTACTACTGCTCTTGCCTGAAGACAGTGGCCTCATGGGTACTGACAGAGCTCCCATTTGTGCTCAGCCATTGAAAAGGACGGAGGGGACGTCAAAGCACTTTACCGGCGCAGCCAAGCCCTAGAGAAGTTGGGCCGCCTTGACCAGGCTGTCCTTGACCTGCAGAGATGTGTGAGCCTGGAGCCCAAGAACAAAGTTTTCCAGGAGGCCCTGAGGAACATTGGGGGCCAGATTCAGGAGAAGGTATGTGAATGAGAGAGAGAGAGAGAGAGGCATTGACGGGTGATAGAGGAACACTGGTATATGGATTTGGGCAAAGGGTGTAAACGCAGGAGTTACTGATGGCACACAAGCCTATGGAATGATGCTCAGCCTTGCTGGTAGTTAGGGAGAAGCAAATGAAAATAATAGCAAGGTGGTTCGTTTGGCAAACTTTTCAAGTTTGCACACTTTGCCAAAAGTAGGGAGCCAGATGCTTAAGTGGTGGGCTCGATTGTGACTGCTGGAGTTGGCATATATTGGTACAGCTTCTCCAGGGAGCACTTTAATGTATCTCTTAAAATTTTAAATGAGCGTGTCCTGTGAATCCAGTACGTTTACTTCTTGCTATCTCTCCTGGAGAAGCCTTGCTCATGTACACAAGCAGGTGTGTGTATGTTTATTTCAGCCTTGTTTGTTGTAATGAAAAGTTGGAACTTATTTGACTGCCCAGCAATAGGAGAATGGCCAAATAAATCAGGTGCTACCTTTGCTGTAGACTCCTATGTTGTAGTTACTGAGAATAGGTAGATACATGTGTACAGATGCAGAGAGAGAATAGTCCTTAAATGAAAAAAAAAGCCAAGTATGCTGTAATACATATAGCAGGATAGCATTAATGTTGAAACAATACCCCGAGTACATCCTCAGAACAGTACCACGTTTCTTCTGTGGGCCCACTTGGGTGTGTAAATATGAAGAAAGGTACTTTCAAAGATACAGCATCAAAATGGTAACAGTGTGACCCCTGGGGAAAGGAGTGGGATTGATAGAGTTTTTCAAAGAGGTTTTGCTTCATCTCTTAACTTCACGTTATAGACAGAGACATTGTTCATCTCTTAACTTTGTATTATAGAAAGAGACATTGTTTGCATAGTGCATATATTTAAAAGTTCCTTTAGGAGAAAAGAACGTAAAGCCCATCCTGAACCACAGCCGAGCTTGAATTAAACAGATCATGTGATGTTACAGTGCTCGCACAGTGAAAGCAGGTAGTAGGATGGGAAACACCTAACTGAAAGGTTGAAACCCAGGAAAGCAAATCGTTTCCTCTCCATGCCAGCTCAGTGTGATCAGCAGGAGCTACCTAGAGCCCTGTGTTGAGAAGGCTTAGGAAGCAAGTTGGTGGGCCTAGCAGAATGTTGCATGCATGACTGATTTGTCATGGATGCAATGGGGGAAGCAGGGAGTTGGCACTTGTGCTGGGTATGTGCCCATGGGTATATGCCCTGGACACTGGGGAGGGAGAGGGCCTAGGACAATCTTGCTCAATCAGATGATTTTTAAAAGTTGTCAGAAAGAGAATTCTGGAGCTCCAGGTGGCATTAGGAACTACCCCATGAGTTGCTGGCTCTTTTGCTGCAGGTGTCAATGCTTGGTTGAGTGACATTGGCAGAGCACCCATGCTGCCACAACATAGATGGTGCTGCTGGGAGGGGGTGGCCCCATGGCTAACAGGGTGCCTTCCCTTCTGACTGGCACTACCCCTGCTGCCCAAGCAGGAAGTAGCTCCGAAAGGAAAACAGCCCCAGGAAGTTTGGGTGAAGCTGCCAGGCAAGTCTCTTCCTGCCCAGGGTAGCGTGGTGTGAGCCCAAAGCCCAGATTTCCTAGCTGTGCCTCTCAGAGACAGGAGCAAGGCCCTAGGAGGAGCAGAAGAGAGCAAATAAGTATGTGCTGCCTATGGCTGAAAGAGCAACCTCTTCCACGCCTTGCTGGTTTGTCGTAGGTGCGATACATGTCCTCAACGGATGCCAAAGTGGAACAGATGTTTCAGATACTGTTGGACCCACAAGAGAAAGGCACTGAGAAGAAACAAAAGGTACAGGTCTGGACAGAGTGAGTCGGGGAGCAGAACCCCCACCGCAGCTCCCTCTGAGGTGCTGTCCCAGTGACCTGGCGTTGGCCTACGAGCCGCTCAGCAGCAGCTGCCCATAGCCTGAACGAGAACTTACAGGGCCTGGGGCCTGTGTGTGTCCTTTTATGTACTTACTGGAGGAAACCGAAGTTCAGAGAAGTTAAATTTATGACCAGGGTCACTCAGCTGCCAGATGGAAGCAATGAGGTCCAGAGCTCGGAGGCGCTGCTTGCCCTGGCCTGTGCTGTGTGCTGTATCCACATCATAGGGCACTTCCTTTGATAGGCTTCCCAGAACCTGGTGGTGCTGGCCCGGGAGGATGCTGGGGCTGAGAAGATCTTCCGGAGCAATGGAGTTCAGCTCTTGCAACGCCTGCTGGACACTGGGGAGGCTGACCTGATGCTGGCAGCTCTGCGCACCCTGGTCGGCATTTGCTCCGAGCACCAGTCCCGAGTAGGTGGGGCAGAGGGTCTGCTTACTACCTCCGTCCATCCCTCCATCCTCCCTTCTACCCACCCTCCCCCGCCATGTTCCCAGAAAAACCAAAGGCAGAGCATAGGAGACATGTAACAAGAGAAGAAAACTTAAAATGGCTCATAAACACCCCAACATGATTTTGGGATGAACTGGGACCTATAAAAAGCAAAAGCAGCCCACTGACACCTTGAGCCCTTGCTTTAGGTAAAGTAGGCTGGAGCCAGGCTTTCCTGGAGCTGCCTCAGACACACCTCGTTCGGACTCACTCATTGTCTATACAGTAAAAAACAAGTTGTTGCAAGGGAAAGGGCCCCTGTCATTCCCTAACCATCAAACTGGTATATCCCCTGCAGGGGTGTCCTCCAGCCAGTGAGGTGGTCAGGGATGTCACCCACAGCATCTGTACTGTTGAGACAGGACCAGATATATGGGGCTTGGCCCCAAACTGGCTCTTAGCACAGATGGGGCATATTCACCACCGACTTTTGGCACAAGAACAGTCCTTCCCTGGCAAAGTCTGGGCCCTAGCTCTTGCCTAAGCTGGCTGGATTCAGGGGATAGGGACTCAACCCTTGGTTCCTTTTGGAGGTGCCCATGATTCCTAGATCAGGGATGGAGCCATGGGATATTATGTGAAAGCTCTTGAGGCCAAACTCAGGCTCTCTTTCTGGGTCTCCCAGGACTGAGAATGATAAAGCCATGTGACTTCCCTCCACCTCCTTCAGCCTTCCTGCCACTCCCAGTGTGAGCCTCTGGGATATCCGGCTTCAAAATGGGGTAGAGAGGCCTTGTTGTTCCATGCTTGTCCCCATCCCTAAACTGCAGACAGAATCTCAGGATGGGCATTGGAAAGGAACCGGGTATCCTTGGACCTGTAGCCACGGAACTTGTCCAGGCTTCAGTGGCCCCTTGCTGGTGGAACATGAACCAAAGCAGCTGCTCCCAGGGCCACAGTGCTCCTGTGCTCCTTGTCTCCTCTGACTGGAGCTGAGGGGAGGTAGTGGTGGATTCCTGTGGAACGTTTCTTTTTTTTTTTTTTTTTGGAACGTTTCTTTAAGAGGCGTTTGCCACAAAATAATCCTAGCGTTACCCCGGGTCACACCCTCAGCCAGGCCCACTTTGATTCCACTTGGAGCTGGTCCTTCCACTCAAATGTATTCTCCCCTTCTGGCCACACTCACAACCCATGGTTAGGGATCTCTGTGGCTGCCCTCTGCCAACTGGAGACTCTGTCCCCATTTCTCCCATCCAGACAGTGGCAACCCTGAGTGTGCTGGGAACTCGGCGTGTGGTCTCCATCCTGGGTGTGGAAAACCAAGCAGTGTCTCTGGCT